TCCGAAATCTAAGCTCAGATTCGGATTCCTCGTGAAAAATTGATGAGATTTCGTGTATCATATGTTAAAATAGCGTGAAGAAAAAAGGTTTAACGACGCGTATAGATTCTGTCATACTGCCCCTTTGAACTACGCCGCCGCGCGGGTCGCCCGAGTGAAACCGAACGGGGAGGCGCCAGCCCTAAGCGTTCAGTTCCGTCGCGAGGAATTTCTCACGATAAATTCTTATTCTTCCTCCTCCGCTGACCCACTGAGAACTACCCATGTTGCCACGTTGCATTCATATGCTCGAATCAGTATGTCTACGTTACGTCTCTTTCCTTCACGCTATGCTCGGGTATGATACATGAAATTGTATCAATTTTTTACGAGGAATCCTAATCTGAACTTCGATTTTGGGTATCACGCGTTTTAAGTCAAATTTTTCAACTTCAAAAATCCGAAATGACTGAAGTGGCCTAAAGTGCCGTCTCGGCTCCTGTTTGATGGATTCTCCTGAAATTCGGTGTCAGGGTATGATACATGGAATAAAATCGACTTTTTACGAGGAATCCGAATCTGAGCTTCGATTTTGGGGATCACGCGTTTTCAATCAAAATCTGTCAAAATTCAAAAAATTCAAAATTCGAAAATCCGAAATGGCTGAAAATGCTATCTCGGCCCCTGTTCGATATATTTTTCGGGAATTAGGTGTCAGGAGGTATTTTTCGACGGGAAACTCGAATTTTCAGTCCATTTTTTAAAATTCTCAAATTCAAGATGGCGGACGTGGGCTAAAATGCTATCTCGGTTTCTGTTTGTTCGAGTCTTGTGAAACGCAGGTGAAACCACCAGTTACAGACACCCGCAAAAATGTGACCAGTTATAGACACCCTTTGTCTAAATATGGTAATAATAAGAAAGAAGTGACTCGGTTCTTTGTGTGTTGTTTTTAATTCAACTCACTTGAGAATGTGGGTTGAATTAAAAACAACACACAAAGAACCGAGTCACTTCTTTCTTATTAATACCATATTTAGACGAAGGGTGTCTATAACTGGTCACATTTTTGCGGGTGTCCGTAACTGGTGGTTTCACCTTATCACACGGTATTTTCAACGGAAAACTCGAATTTTTAGTCAATTTTTTAAAATTCTCAACTCCGAAATGTTGGATGTGGCCTAAAATGAGCTCCGGTTTTGGCCTCCGTTTCTGTTCGTTAGAGCTTTGTGAACCGCAGGATCAGGGGTACTTTTCGACGGGAAACTCGAATTTTTAGTAGATTTTTGAAAATTCTCAAATCCAAGATGACGGACGTGGCTTAAAATGCTATGTCGGCTCCTGTTCGATGGATTTTTTTGAAACTCGGTGTCTGAGGGTATTTTTCGACCGGAAACTCGAATTTTTACTATGTTTAAAAATTCTCAAATCCAAGATGGCGGACGTGGCCTAAAATGCTATGTCGGCTCCTGTTCGATGGATTTATGGCGCCCCCTTACTACATGCCTACTCTTGTATTTCTGTACAGCCGCAAATTTAGGGTCAAGGGGCGCCTGTCCGTCTATGGACCCGGTGGAGTTTTTGTCCTGAAAATTTACCTTTAGACGGCAATTCTCTTTATATTTTGTCTATGGTTTGTATGCCCCCCCCCTTTCTCGCGGACTCTCTTTTCACTTTTCTTGCCTCCTTTTTCCTTCCATTTCCCCCTTCTTCCTTGCTTTCACTGCCCAACCTTGTTTCCTTTTCCTTTTTTCCCCTTGTCCTTTCTTCCCTTTTCTTCTTTTCCTTCTCCCCCCTTTTTTCCCTCTCTTCTTCTTTCGTGGCGCCCCCCTAAGTCCGGGCCTGAATTCGATCAATTATCGGATACAAATAGCTCAAAATTGCTCCTGAGACATTGGGCGGCTCAATTTTTATTCTCACAATTTCCTAAGGAAGACCCTCAGACTCCCTTTGTAACCATAGCAAAATCTTCCGAACCCTTCTCCGGAGCCGAGAAACTACCTCAAATCCCCCTCAATGGAGTGCCCCTCTAACCCGTTACAAAAAAATTCTAGTTCCACTCACGGTTAGAGGGTAAGGCAATTTCTCTAGGGAAATTGAGCGGCAGACATTTTTTTTCGCCTCGTTACAAATACACTAAAACTCGTATGCACATCGTTGCCTTCCGGCCAAAGTATCACAAGCGCCATACGACGTTTCAAAATTTCCGCCGCCATTTTATTGCTTGACAGAGAAATAGTTGGACTACATTTTGCAATTATAGGAACTATAAATTTCGGCTCGGTTTAAAAACAACGTATGTGCCATTAGTTTCCCTATGCACATGCGTGTTTTTTCAGAGGAGCTAATAGAATTTATAGCTCCAAATTGCAAAATGCAGTCCAGTTCAACGAAGCTGTCCGAAAATTTCACTGAATTTTCTTTGTGCTGCCGATAAAATTCGGTGAAATTTTCAAACAGACTTAACCAACAATTTCTCTACAAACGAATACAATGGCGACGGAAATTTTGAAACGTCGCGTGGCGCTTGTGATACTTTGGCCGGAAGGTGATGATTTGTAAGAATATTAGTCACCTTTCTCTTGAGGAAATAAAGTAGGAGCAGAAATTTTAAAACATTACCAATCGAAATACAAGGTTTTCAGTTATGCCATTCATATATTTACAACTGATGATCCTCGAGTATCATGAATGACTATGCCAATAGTAGACCACTGGAAAAAGTCACAAACGAAGCATCACAATTGGCATGTTTTCTCATCAATGTTTCACATAGAGCACCGTAGGCTTGTTGATTGGATTTAAATCAAAAGGAACAATCTCTATGGTGACTTGAGTCCTGAAACTCATACGATTGCATGCATAACAGGGTTCAGGCCACAAGGAGATGGCCCCTTTGGGTTCATATCCGACCAATTTTCAAATTCAACTCGGGCGTGAAAAATTAGTGTTTTAAACCTGATGGGTCATTCAACTAAAGTTAGTGTAAATGACATTGAAAAGATTTTGTTGTACGTACTTTTTCCTCTTTTATGTCATCATTTACTTATTTTATTTATTTATATACTTATTTATTTTTAAATTTTACAAGAATGATGCATCGAAGTAAGAAAGCGATTTCAGAAAAATCGAATTTTAGTTATTAAAAAAAAACAGTTTTTTATCAATGAACGCTTTGATTCACGTTGATTTTGTGGGTTTCTTTGCAAGTTTAGAATTTTAATTGATATTTTTTTGTTAAAATTTTACGTTCTATTCCTGGTTCATTTTTGGGTTTCTGAATCTGTTTAATATGTTTTCCGTTCAAAGTTGATAAGAAAACTTGTATTTCGGTTCCCTAAATCTCGCCCTGCCTATGATTCATTGTACCAGTCATCACTTTTACCAATGATAACCGCTGATCCCTGCTTCCAAAGAGAAGAGTATGAGTTTTCTTTAGTTATAATTTTCCATGTTAATCTTTGGCACTCACGTGTTTTGAGAGTTTTGAGCTGACTCACGGCAGTGCACGTGTGTTGCATTTCCCCAAAAAAGGATGACAGACCTGATGATTCGAGATCAAAACGGTCAGTTTAGCAAATTTTACTTTTGCAACTTTTATCTACGCTGGCAGTAATTCAGTGGCCGTTCCGCATTGGAGCGACTGATAACGGCGACTTATGATCACGAGCTTGAAATTTTAATGAAAACTCTCGCAATTGGACGTATTTCTGTCAAACGGAACTATGTGCATTAGGACATGAGCCCTGAGAGCCATAAGAATATATGATTAACAGGGCTCACGTCATAATGCACATAGTTCCGTTCGGCAGAAATACGTCCAATTAAAACTAATGAGTCGCCAAGATAAAAAATCGTTGAAGGTTCAATTAGGAAATTTTTTGCTCGTGATTAACGGAAAAACTGAGATCAGACACTCTCAACATTCTACATACTCAGCAATGATAGTGTAATCAGTTAAACTTTGCGCACGTCAGAACATGAAACAGGATTTTTTTTCTATCTTTTAAATTTTCAGGTGAAGTCAATTTCCAAGCTTTTTGATGCACTGCATTTAAGTAATCAGTCTATAGTTTTTACTTGGTTAAAAATGAAAGAGGGCATTTGGTGTGCTAATTCTACATTTTTTCAAACCTGGGCGGAACGACTGATTAACTTTCAAATTAAAATTTATATTAAGAGGTTTTGAGATTTTGGACATTATTAGCAAGGGCATTGTATGAATTGGACGTATTTCTATCAAACGGAACTAAGCGCCAATTTGAGTTCCTTTTGAGGAATTTAGAATGCCGGATAGCGCGTTCTGTCAAACGGAACTAAGCGCCATGGAAAAGCATTGCGAGTATAGGACGGAATGAGCCCGACGCCCGGTTCCGCCGCCAATCCAAGCCTCCCTCTACCTTCCTCCCCCTATGGCGCTTAGTTCCGTTTGACAGAAATACGCCCAATTAAAAGGTTCCCATGAAACATTCACTAGTTATTAATGCATTTTCTTGACTCTTAATTAGATGCTCTTCTCATATTTCTTTGCTTTTGAGGAAAATGTACTTCTACTTAGGAAGTATTTTCTTCTCATTTTCCCTATTAGCTGTTATTCATAAAAAAAAGCCTCATTACAAGAAATTTAAGTTTGGGGTTCAATGATATAGTTCATCTTCCCTACAGAATAAAGTTAATATTGTATTAATTTAATTATTTCCCCAAAAAAATTGGAACGCAATTTTCAACAGTGAGATCAAAAGTAGTGCGAGGTCAAAAGTTGTGGTGGCATTGCGACCCTACCAAAAGTTCAGGCACGATTTACCTCTCATTTAATTAAGAATGCTCTCAATATCTCTTTACATAAATTGCTTGTTTCCTTAGTGATGGGGAAAAATGTTTTACCACTTCAAAAGAATGCACATATCCACGCTAGAAAATCTGAGCACTATTGTATCACAAGTACGCTCTTTTGTTTATGACTGCGTCAATTCTTAAATGTTGTACGAGGGTTCATTGATCGATTTTCAACTATTTTAAGATGGATTATAGAAAAAAGAATATAATTTGAAAGGATAAAGGCAAATCAGAGAAACACGATTTCCTTACAAACTAATTTATTTTAATACACACGTTGGGACTAATTTATTTGATTTTCTGCTAACATTTCCCATTACTGATCCAATTGCGAAAACTTCTAATCTTGAATCTACAATGTAGTTATCGGCGGCAAATTCTGGAAACAAAAATAAAAAATCTGTTAAATTTTTCGTCGATAAAAGTTTTGCTATTCCATGTTACTGCGAGCAGCATTTCAGGAGATCAAACGCTGTTGCGTCTAGTTAAATTTTTTTTACAATTATTCAAAGTTTTATCGCTTGAAATTTAGCCAAAAAGCAACATTTGTACAGAACGAAATTGAGTGTCGTTTGCTCACTTTCCAAAGTACCTGGATAACTGAGCTTTTACATGGAAACCAAGCAACATTTTTTTGATGATGTTATTACTTTAGGACATTTCCTGGCTCTCAAAACATTTTTTGGTGATTTCAAGAGTTGTTTTCCTGTAATTTCAATATATGGAATGGAGGTTTTTGGTATAAAATTTTAAAACTCTGATTGAACTTACCAATAAGTCTAGCTCTTAATTCTGAGACTGGAATGATAATAGTTTCTTTGAATGGGTCTTCACTTTGTTTTGGATTCCTGTTCATGGGATTGTCTCCATCAACCTGAAATCAGATACAGAGAATTATCTCAATGTAATTCGTAGTCAAAGTAGTCATAGGAAGAGTGTGGGAAGCTCTCTAATTGCTTTATTGGAGACGTTACTTAACCATCAAGTGGAATACATGGCCCACTTTTTTGCGTAGATTTTTAATGACAAAATGATTCATTTGATTGAATGAAAAATCGACACAGCTGTTCAGGCATTGTACTTTCTACAGAACTTAAAATGGATTTTTTCATGGCGAGTCTTTCACGGATACATTATTTAAAGTTTGAGGCCGAACTTTGCAACATTCGGGCTACCCATGAAAATATGTTTCGCTGTGAAAGGGCCTTTTTCCTACTAAAATTTTCTTAACAGATTATCAATTATGTGACCTAACAATAAGTGATTTTATCAAAGAAAAAGAAAAGCGACAGTTTCATAGATACTTACATTAACTGTGACGAATCTAGTCATACAATTACTGAAGTTGGGGTCTGTGGATAATGGAGTTCCTATCGTTTTGACAGCTCCAAACAGGTTGGTGTGTTCGTATAGTTCCCTAAGTGCTGTTTCTCCTGCTCCTTCGTTCTCTTGAACTAAACCTAAAATTTAAAAAAAAGGCACTCAGTGAAAAAATCTACGGCATTAAGTAACTTATAAGTAACGAAAACACGGTATTAAGGGATAGAAAATCTGAGGATCTGGCTGCATTTTTCTAGCATATCCACGGCCAGTGTCAAAATATATGTTTCTTAATGATACCGTATAAATATCTCCTACTACGTTTCATTTTTCTAGAGAAAATCAACTGAAATTTCAGCTTAAAACTTTTGCGTATTTTTGAAAAATTTCCAAAATATGAAAAAATTCATTTATTTCTAAGCGGCATTCGATTACAATGTTCGTCAAAAAATGACGATGATAACGATACCCAAAGAAACTTTGTCAACCATGTGCGCATACTTAATTTAATTTAATTTAAATTAATTAGATTTAATTCTCTTAAAAGGCAAGCTCATTTTAAGACGATTTTGTAGAACAATGTGCACTGACTGTGTTACTCCAGCTCGACACTAATCAGTGCAGCATGTTTACAAGAGATGCAACGTAATAATGCAAACAATGACTCCCCCAGATTCATAATTCATGTCAATGTAAGTATAGAATACATATATTAGAGAGTAGTTTTAGGATACAACTTACCTGAGACCATTTCTATCGTGTAGGTTTTTAGGGCTGGTCTGAATTTCTTCACTAGGATAATACAGTCATGGTACAGAAGTCTTTTGTAGAAAGCTAGTACTGTAACGGAATCAACCCTGTTGCCATCTCTTCTGGCTATTCTTGTGGCTCCTTCCCAACACCTATAACAATGTGAAAGGAAAAAATTAATATTATTTTAAAACTGGATCGCGGATTTTATTCGAAGAATAATGAATTATCTCAACCGCAGACTTTTTCACACATATTCATTGCTGAATTCTACCTATGTTTTAACTTTGTAATGTCATGTTAATAGCAAAATTCTGTTTAATTTTGAACTATATAGTATGCAAATTCCATGTGCATAGTTCCATTGATCATATTACGCCTATTTGACAATTATTTCCTTGCTCTCTCTATCACAAATTCCCTGCAGAAACTATTCGTGATTCAGTGCTGTGCGAGAGGTAGCATCAAAATTGAAGGAAAACTTATTTGGAAAGAACACGCTTTTATATTAAAAGCTCTGCGCAGCTGTTCTTGACGCATTTTTGGGCATTAGAAAATCGAGAAAAATTCATTTTCTTTCTTTAAAAAATGAGATAATTTGAAATTTCCTAGTGTGATAAATTTTAACTAGGAAACCCTTCTCCATGATCAGAACTGTTCGGTGTCCTTTGTCTCAATAAAGAATTCAGATGCATGGACATAAAAGATGAAGTTCCCTGTGTCTGCGATGAAGGCAACAGTAAAGTATCTAAAACAACCCGTGATCAAAACAAATGTTTGAAATTTCCCAAGCATCCGGAAAAGACATCCGCCACATGGAAAATTTGAATTAAAACATTTTGCCTTTAGAATCTTATGTTTTAACTTTCAATTAATTTCCCTTAAAATTTCAAACAAGCGACCTAAAAATGTCTAGCAGTCCCACAATCCAAGCAAAAATCGGACATTTTCGATGCATCTGACAAAGTTATCTGACTTCCGGAACAATTGACTTTGAAAATTTTACCTTTTGAACCCAATATTTCAACCCCATTGCATTTGTCTGAAAATCCCATAAGAAAACGATTTGAGAAAATTTTCGAAAGAGGCCGTAATCTTAGGGAAAATCGAACATTTTCCATGCATTCGAAAAAGGCATCTGCCGCATGAAAACGTTGAATTTGGAACTTTTACTTTTTGAACCGTATATTTTAACTTTAAATGCGTATTTCTCGAAATTACGAAAAACATGATTCAAGAATTGTCGAAAAGGCCAGAAACAAAGAGAAAATTGGACATTCTTCATGCTTCTGAAAAAGTCATCAGGCTCGTGAAAAAGTCGAATTTGGAACTTTTACTTTTTGGATCTTATGTTTTAACTTTTCGATGTGTTTTTCTCGAAATTACAAAAAATATGATTCAAGAATCGTCAAAGAAGCCAGAAACAAAGAAAAAATCGGACATTCTTCAAGCCTCTAAAAAAGTCATCTGGCTCGTGCAAAGTCAAATTTGGAACTTTTACTTTTTGAATCTGATATTTTAACTTTCAATGCGTTTTTCTCGAAATTACAAAAGCGCACGATTAAAAAATTTTCAAAGAGGCCATCAGAATCAAAAGAAAAATCGGACATTCTCCATGCATCTGAAAATGTCATCCGGCTCGAGGAAAAGTCGAATTTGGAACTTTTACTTTTTGAGTCTATAATGTTTTAACTTTCAATTCGTTTTCCTCGAAATTAGGTACAAAAGAGCACGATTCAAACATTTTCAAAGAGGCCATCAGAATCAAAAAAGAAATAGGACATTCTCGAAATCACAAAAAAATGATTCAAGAATTGTCAAAGAAGCCAGGAACAAAGGAAAAATCGGACATTCTCAATGTATCAGAGAAAGTCATCCGACTCGTAGAAAAGTTGAATTTAAAATCGTACCTTTTGTATCCGTTAATGTCGAAATACGAAACTCTAGAGAGGGTGAGTCTTTCTCCTTGGGCGATGGATTCCTGTTGGATGACACTGGAAACGGTTTTGTCGTTGGTGCGAATGATGATCTCGGAATTGAGATCGTTCCGGGGTATATCAACCTCCATCATGGTGATTGGCGGGTAGTCGAGTCAACTAGAAAACACACTGACCGTAGCGGAAGTCACTGAACTTGAGCGGCGGAGCAGGGTGGATCGACTGTCGGTCCGAACCGCCGCGCCGGGAGTATTTATACGAGCTTTCGTCACTAATCAGCAATCAGCACTGACACCGCTGACCGGCAGCATCATCACAACTAATGCTCAAATCACGCCTGATCACTCTGTAGCATAGCCAGGCGTGATAACTGTTTATTTGTTTTCATGCCCTCTCCCCGTCTCCGCCCCGGTCGCCACCACCGTCCCCTGGTGGTGGTCAGCGTGTGTGCACCTCTGCTCTGCTGTTTCAGCACTATCCTCCACTTTGATCATGCTGCCTGCGGCTTGCTTGGGTCACACGCTTATCGCTCGTTACCTGCGCTAGGCTCTTCCGCGCCCCATGTGTCTCTGAATCAGCGCTTAAAATGTTTACATCCGAGCCTTTTCCTATAATTTTCGTACGGAACACGTGTGGTTTTAAAGCGCAATTTTTCCTCGGGATAGTTGAATGGATGTTGAACGGCATGTGCGCTTCTCACGTTGTTTGCATTATCGCCGCTGTCGCAGGGGATACCAGCATCGAAATTTGTCCTCTTAATCATAGTTTGATTGAAGCATCACTAATTTGGACGTATTTCTGCCAGACGGAACTATGTGCATTGAGAAATGAGCCCTGAGACCCATAAGAATACATGCATATCAGCGCTCACATCTTAATGCACATAGTTCCGTTTGGCAGAAATACGTCCATTTCAGAGGAAGATTTTGAATTTCGATTACTTTATTAATTTTTTTCAACATTTTTCAGTGTATTAGAGTCTTCTCCCATCTTAAAAATAAATAATGAACAATAATGAACAATAATGAACGGCTTCTGGGCCTGGAACGGACATACCGTCCGCTCCAGGCCCAGAAGCCGAAGTTCTGGGTGCTAGAGCCGTAACTTCGACAGCTCCAGCTACTCCACCCAGAACTTTCGGCCTCTGACCCAGGAACGCGGGCGGTGTGTCTAATGTATGTAGCCTGTGAGCACGGCTTCCACGTTCGGACTTTTTTTTCGGTGTTATTGGTGATATGTCTTTCATTTATTTCATTTAGAAACACAAAGATTATAACGAAAGTCACTCGTCCTTTGGGCATCACGCCGAACTAAAATGCCTAATACAATTATTTAAATTCCTGAGCCGCTCAAGTTGCATCCATCGAGTTGAAGGCGAACCGGATTTCTTACGCCCGTTTTTAGTAATTTAGATTAGAGCGCGAAGGAGGGGCTCAATTCTAGCTTCTAGACGTTATGGGACTTTTCGCGGTACCGGTAGTGATTAACACCAAAAGAGAGTGTATCTCCGTGAATTACAGAAGAATTAGTCAAAAATAAGTCTCAATGCCGGCCAGGTTGGCCGAGTGGTCAGCGCGTCTGACTCAAGACCTTTAGGTCCCGGGTAGAGTCCCTTTATACCCAGAGTTAAGACAACTCGATTATCAGCTGACTGGCAGTCGGCCTTGGCTGGCCGGAGGCCGAAACGAGTGCACCCAAACGAACGATATTGAGGGATAAGGATCAGGAATCCTGCGATGTCTGTCACACAAAAACAACAACATCAACAAATTGATCAATTAAAAAGAAAATGAGATTGGTTTGTGAATAATTTCTTAATCTATTTTTATTTTGGACCGATGGAAATAACAATTTACTCTTGATAAACCACAATTAGGTAATATTTTCATTATTCTTGTTCACGTTCGAGGTACCACCATCTTGGTGCGCTCGTTTCGGCCTCCATGAGCGAGAACCAATCAGAATTGGATTTTTTTTTAGGCCACTTTCGGCCCAACCAAAAGGTAGCCAAAAGTGAGTTGTCTTAACTCTGGGTATAAAGGGACTCTAGTCCCGGGTCCGCTTCTCGGTGGTGGCGACAAATTGTCATGGAACTGATAAGTATCTGTAGAAGCAGATTCCACTCGGCCTTAATACCTGAAAATTTGAAAGCCTGGAGTATGGATGTGCACTAACCCTAACTCGATGCTCGTTCAAGGTTGCAGAATCCTCAAATAACTTTAAAAAAAAAGGAAGGAAAAAAGTCCGAGTAGGCCCAGTTAGACCACCATTGCTCCTGATTTCTCCCTTGTCTATATGACAAAATCAAAAGGTATATTATGGTAATTTATGGGTTATCATGCGTTCATGCAATTGATTTAACGATTCAAGTTGGCGATTAATTTTGAGTCAACCGTAAAAACGGCCTTTTGGAAGATTTTTTCGTTGGTTTTTTTTCCTTTAAAGTTATGGTCATATAAGTTGGTATCAGAATTTCCGAGGAAACACTGAAATTTATAGATAACATATTCCATTTTACTCCACTCAGAAACTTAGTGATACGCAAGCAATGAACAATTTTTTATTAAAAGTGCCTAGAATAGTGCATTCAATCCGAAAATTATAAATCTATGAATTGGTTAAAATATTTGTCAAAGTATTAAGCATTCAGAAAGTTCTATTTACGTCAAAAAATCGAGATTACTTAAAATGTAAATACCTCTCAAGTACTAGTAAATTTATGTGTAGCCCTTAGATCACTTTCGTCACTGTACTTTATAAAGTAAGAATTTTCTGCTTCATTTTGAGATTCTTATAAGTAAAAAGTAGCTATGAGGGTGAATTACAAAGATAAAGAGGAAATTATTAAGATCTTAGTAGTTAACAAATGTAGTAAGTGAGCCAATCATGACTGTAAACACAGGGCAATGCCTTATTCACGATTGCTACTACTTGTATCGCTCAAAACAAAACAAACTGAAAGAGAAACAGACATTCGTTACATAATTTGAATTTTCCCTTGATACTAAATCATTGATCAGTTATGAATATCGTATTATTATCTGAGCGATTATTTTCACTCTCAGGTTTAAGTGTAAGTTTATTTTTCATTATGTCTACAATAGCGTGTGTAACATTCAATTACTCATCACGTAGATGTCGACGGTGAAACTACCAAACCACGTATCTCGGTTTGCGACGTCGCAGACTTCCTGTCATACTTTATTTTTTAAATGAAAAACTACTTAACATCCAGTCTTGAAAATTTCTGTGATTTTTCCTCTTTGTGCGGAGAAAATTCCGTGAAAATTTCAAGGAATGATATTGATTTGGTCTACTTCAAAAAAATAAAATGTGAGCGTAGATTTTTAAACACCGCAAACGAGATACGTGGTTTGGTAGTTTCACCGTCGATGTGCGTCGCGGCACGATGTTTACGCATGAAGAGATAACTTTAAAATGTCAATGGAGCGAAGACATCTGTGAAAAAGGGAAGAGATGGAAGGGCAAACTGATTTATTGCGTTCGTTTTCAACAATTTACCTGTGCTTGATCCCTTAATCTGAGGCGTAATTTCACGCGCTTTGTTTGTATACACGTTCCTCTTTTTTCCATAATCTTTATATTGGGTTCAAAGATTAACATATATTTACAATATCTAGCACATTCTCTATTGAATGCCATTTGCTTAAATATTAACTTCATGGAACTTTATCTGTGCTGTATCTAAATTGGGGAAATAGCTAACTTGAGGTGGGATACAATTTACAGTTAATAACTACAGTGTGTAGCTCATCATAGATACATCATATGTGTCAGTGTTTTTCAAATGTAGATAAGCGTTTTTATGATTAAGCTAGAAATTTTAGTTCCAAATTACAAAATGTAGTCCAACTAAAGTCTGAGGTATCACTAAGTTATATTCAAATGAGTATATTTACAATATTGTCGATGATTATTATTTTTTCATTTATTAGGAGCTTTGAGGACAAGGCATATTAGTGCAATTTTTGAAAAAATTAAGATATTAGTGATTTCAAATAAAACCAGTTTCAATGCAGTTCCTCATTGCAAGATGAGGTTCGATTAGTTCGCTGGTGAAAGTGCAGAAGTGCATCTCTCAATTTTTGACCGTTTTAAGTTAGCTCCATAAACGTATTGTTGAAGATTCGTCTACTTGCCAGCAAGAGATTATTATCGAAAAAAATCGGGAGGTCACCTAAAACCATAGAACTCTTCTCGCGTATCTTCGGCTTAAGTGCAGAAATGCGTATCTCATTATACGAGGGGCGTTCAATAAGTAAGTATCCCCCCCTCTCTAAAATCCATAAGAATGGACCAATTTTAAAAAACTTGGGCTCAAAATCTTCCTTAGGATATTTTGAGTTCAACAAAACAAACCGCAACAAAATCGGACTATGTGCGGCCGAACGCGAGCCGTTTGAACGCGCCGAGGTGCTCGACGCTCCCGCCGAATCTGCGAGGATTTGAAGTCCGCTACGGGAGAAGAGCTTCTCTGCCAAAGCCTCGGTCGTTCATCACTGACGAAAAATCAAAGACATTTTTGTAGAATAAGGGGCTTACCTCACTTCTCCACATAACCAGCTCGATCCAAGCAAGTCTGATACTGAGACTAAGACTAAGAGAACAGATTTTGGATGCCTCGTGCGTGGAAGTCTTTCAGCTGACCGCGGATGAAAGAGTGGACGGCTTGTTTGACCTCTTCCACTGATTCAAAATTAACTCCTCCGAGTTCAGATTTCAGGAACGGGAATAAATGGTGGTCTGGTTTGCCATTTATTATCGTATCTGAAATCTGAACCCGGAGGAGTTAATTTTGAATCAGTGGAAGAGGTCAAACAAGCCGTCCACTCTTTCATCCGCGGTCAGCTGAAAGACTTCCACGCACGAGGCATCCAAAATCTGTTCTCTTAGTCTTAGTCTCAGTATCAGACTTGCTTGGATCGAGCTGGTTATGTGGAGAAGTGAGGTAAGCCCCTTATTCTACAAAAATTTCTTTGATTTTTCGTCAGTGATGAACGACCGAGGCTTTGGCAGAGAAGCTCTTCTCCTGTAGCGGACTTCAAATCCTCGCAGATTCGGCGGGAGCGTCGAGCACCTCGGCGCGTTCAAACGGCTCGCGTTCGGCCGCACATAGTCCGATTTTGTTGCGGTTTGTTTTGTTGAACTCAAAATATCCTAAGGAAGATTTTGAGCCCAAGTTTTTTAAAATTGGTCCATTCTTATGGATTTTAGAGAGGGGGGGATACTTACTTATTGAACGCCCCTCGTAGTCCCTCCACAGGGCCAGATTTACCCACTTGCCGCCCATGGGCTGCCTGTATTTTGCCGCCCATGGGCTGCCTGTATTTTGCCGCCCCCTTCTCATTCGTTTTGAAACATTGATAAAAACCAAGTGAACGTGCCGGAGGGGGAGGGCTGCATAAGACACGTTTACTCGTGTTGGACACATTTTTTGGGAGAGCCCTGTCAACTC